AATGTCCCAGGGGAATACAAAACTACTGCTACTCATTTGCACAGATATTGAAGAGTTGGCAATGGAGCCTAGTCTCGTTTTTCAGGTCTCTGTAGTGCAAATAAGATTATTGTTATGAAATTAAGATGGAATTTCTTTTCCTCTTTGGTTTACTTTCCTCCTGTCAAAGTATAGCAGTAGGTCTTGGAGCAGACAACTTATGTCCCTTTTACCTCTGTCTCCTGATGTAATAAGAAGTCTTTAACTTATTTGTCTGTCTGTTGATTCTAGACACGAATTGCAGACTGGCGGGAAGGAGCTCTTAATGGAAACTACCTTAAACGAAAACTTCAGGATGCAGCAGAACAACTAAAACAGTATGAAATAAACGCCACTCCTAAAGGCTGGTCCTGCCACTGGGACAGGTACGCACTCTTCTCCCCTTTTCACCTTTCACCTTTGACATCTCAGACATGATTTGTGATCACCACCACCTGACGACATGACAGCCTGTCTGGAGACTGAGAGCAGCTGCAGTTAGCGGTGCTGGGCAGGCAAAGCACCGCAAGCAGAGTTTGGGCCAGCCACACATTGGAGAAACAAAAAGCAATGTTTAAAGTGTTCCATGTAACGGATTTTTTCCCAAGATTGGACAAAGCTGGTGTTTACTCTCCAGAGTGTTCCACGGAGTAGGGCGGGCTTGGGGGTTAAGCGCATGCGAGAGCTCTGTGCGCTTTACAGGACCTCTGGAAGCAACTACTCCTGATTAACCTCGGTGAAGTTAAGGAAAGCTTCGTGACTGAAGATGTGAATGAAGAACAAGATTACTATCCTCTGCCAGCAGGTCAGATGAAAACATTCCTTTTTATATTTGGCTTTTCTTGATTTTTTTTTTTCGTTATTTGAAATCTTTGCTCTTTTATTTTTCAGCTCCCAGATCCTCTCCCTCTCTTTAGCTTTCACTGTGTTTGATATCAAGAATATGAAATGTGAATTCCACGGTCCAAGAGGGGAAGAGTCACCTTTCACAAACTTCGTTGTTCTCTTCTTTGGAAGGGAAATTAGTGTTCTAGGCGATTGAGTCCCTTCGTTAATGAAACTTGAAACCCTGTTACACATTGGCAAAAAAAAAAAAAAATTGAAAAAAGAAAGATGTTTTCTAAGTCATCTGTTGGATTGAGAGGGCTCAGGGCTGTATTCACAGAGCTGCTGGCAGTGCAAATAGCTTTGAATTATCCTTGGTTCTCCATCCTCCATTGTCAAAGCTCTTTGTTGCCTTTGTGAATAGCAGTCCATTAAGAAGAGGTTCGTCCCTGTGAGAGCAGACTGCTGTCCTGGGACAGGACCAAATGGAAGTGTCCCTGTAGGAGAATGGGTTTTAAAACAAGTGTTTTTTTTCTTGTAATTTAGGGATCATAGACGATATTTCTATGTAAACGAACAGTCGGGCGAGTCTCAGTGGGAGTTCCCAGATGGTGAGGAGGAGGAGGAAGAAAGCCAAGCACAAGAAAGCAGAGACGAGAGTCTTCCTAAACAGACCGTGAAAGACAAAACTGGCACTGATTCAAATTCTACAGAATCTTCTGAGAATTCCACAGGTGGGACAATTTATCCTTTATTAATTAGACAGAAATGATTATAGAGAAGAACTTGTACTAATTTGTATCATGAAAGAAGAAAAGAATTTATCGCCACAGGTGGGACAATTTATCCTTTATTAATTAGAAATGATTATAGAGAAGAACTTGTACTAATTTGTATCATGAAAGAAGAAAAGAATTTATCTCATAACATAAGCTTCTAATTGAAAAATAGTGGCTTGAATGAAAAAAAGAATGCGTGAGTTATACTGAAAGAAATTAAGACAGTGGCTTCTTGGAAATCAGCATACTGTTGATAATCAAATATCAGACTCTGCTCAAAAACAAAAAGATGAGCCAGTATGTTTTGATTTGAAAAGATATTCAGGCTGGCTGATTAGCTCACTTGATTAGAGCTGTTGCTGATAACACCAAGGTCAAGGGTTTGGATCCCCTTAAGGTCAGCTACCAAAAACCAAATAAAGGAAAAGATGGTCCTATAATCATTCTGTCATGCCACAGATGAAACTGTGGATCTCTAAAAGCAGGAATGCTAATTAATGTTAAGGAACTAGATAGTTGAACTGTCAATATCTGTGTGGCATGATTATGAGATTTGCTCTACATTTCTTAGTCTATTGCTATTGCAGTCTCATTTCTTAAATCCACTAATCTTAAAAGAAGTAAGGTTGTACAAAACGATTTGAAGAAATGATCTGAAACTACCACTATACTTTTTTTTCAGAGAAGCAAAATAATTGATAATTGAAAATCACCAGCAGTATTGTAGTATAAAACAATCAGGAATAGGATGGCTTATCCTATTTAAGGTACTTGTAGAGGAATTTAGTTTAGTTTTATACATTTTTTTTAAAAAAATAGGCTTTCATAGCTCCTCAGTTACTCTGAGGATCTGATAACCCTTGAGAAGAGCCACAATTGGGCTGGCTCGTTGGTTAAAATGTGGTGCTGATAATACCAACGTCTAGGGTTTGATCCCTATACCAGTCAGTCACCAAAAAAATAAAGAGCCACAACGTGATTGCCACATTGTGAAAGAAGATACATTTTTTCCCCTCTAAGTATATCTTTTTTGTAATGACAAATGTAAGAGAATAGTCAAGCATAGTCAAGACTATGATTAACAACCTTTTGATCTTAAAAACTGGTAGCTGTTAAAGTGATGGCATCTGAAGGCAAGAGTGTGTGAATGGTTTTTAAAGTAATAGACCTTTGAAAATAAACGTGAAATTTGTTGGTACTATAGAGAGTAAAGAGCTGAATTTCTTTTGTCCTCTCCTTATCAAAAATAATTCTTTGTACTCCACTGGCTCCCAGATCCCAGCTGGAAAGTTCTGATAATGTACCAAATAAAACAGGTCATGTATCAAATGATTTTGTTAACTTATTAAATAGCCTTGGAATTGTCATCTGACCACCTTAAATTAAAAGCCACATAACAGTGCAG